TGCAGACACTCCCCCATTTCAGTTATTCTCTCCAAAGCCTCCATGCACATAATCTCTCCATACCTTGGCTTTCCCATTTCTCTCACTTGAAAAACCCTCTGCAGACAACTTAGCTTTTCTTAGTCTGCAAGGACCAGTTGATGTTCCAGATCTTTGATTGATCACATTGAACTCTTCCTCCCCTGAACTTCATAGTGTTCATTATCTTGGCTGCTTACTTACACTCAGCATACTCTGCTTTATGTTGTTTTAATATTAGTATGTGAATAAGGCAAACATTTCTAGACTCTAATAACCTGTAGGTGTACAAATGGGATTCAGAGCATGTCCACCGTCCAAATTACTCCAGTAATTTCTGAGACTTCTTTGGCTTTTCACATATGCTCATAACCAGTTCTCTATATCCTTCTCTCCCTTGAAACTTGCTTCACAAAAGTGTAAGGAAGGTGTCTCACTGTGAGTCCCTTGTGAGAATATTGCTTCTCTGCTGGTGCTCTCAAAACCATAAAACCTTGTGGAACCATGCTGTGTTCTAAGCAGAAGTACTGAGATTGTCCTTCTCTCAAACCTTGTATTAGCCTCTCTTCTCTTAACCCTAAGCAATAATATTTGAGCCTTAAACCTCACAAATTCACCTGAAAAGCAGTTTCTTTACCTTTGTGCTATAAATTCACTATACTAAGGGGAAAACTGGCTACAGGAAAACTACTTCCTCAAATAACCAAAATGTATTGTTTACTGGTTAGATGCTCAACAATTTACATTTGTTATCCTAAATGAAAAAAACAAACTCACTGCCATCAAGTCAATTCTGACTCATAGCAACCTCCTTTGAGTTCCCAAGGTGGTAAATCTTTACAAAAGTAGATTGCCCAATCTTCCTTCCACAGAGTGACTGGTGGGTTTGAACCACCAGCCTGGTTAGCAGTCAAATGCCTCAGGCACTATGCCACCACAGCTCCTTTTATTATCCTACTTGACTCTTATTTTTACCACAAATAATGCACACTATTGTTATTTCATGTTCCAAATAAGGATATTAGAGTTTAAGATAAAGTTGCTTGCTGAAGACACAGATGATAAACAGTAGATAGACATGGCTTTAGAACCCACCCAGAACTTTCTGTTCCCTGTTTCTCCTATACAAATAGTCATACAGTTTAGATTCTAGAGTGTGGTGATGGTGAGAACTACCATGTGTTCAATCTCAAGTTGGATCACCTAGTAAACCTTGTGGCACGTACATTTAACTTGTCTTTACAGCTAGGTAGTTAGAGTTGTATTGTAGCTTTTTATATTCTTCCTCAAACTAGCACAGTGCTTTTTACATAAGCAGTCCAGTAAATAGTGGCTGGCAAACCAATGATCAAAAATAGGAAGATATAAAATAGGAAGCTTCCCCTAAACTTTAGAGTTTAGGCTTTCAGGCTAGGCCACTGTATGACATGGACAGAGCTAACATTAGACAGTTACTCTGACATACTCATTGAAACTCACAGGCATGGTCCCAAAAGAGAAATGGTATCCTATCGGTGGAATTATGTAGACAAGCCTGGAAAATCAATTGAGATCCAAGCTTCTGCCAAGACCAATATAGCCACTAAGTACAGGAAGAGCAATTGTAGTTATGAATATTTCACCATATTTCTTGCAAATGAAGCCTACATTTACTTATCAAAAATATCACATCCACCTTCTGGTGTGTATAACATAATGTTGTTTTTAAAAGACTTTACAGTTATCAGAGGTGCCATATTGTATCACCTTGAGTTATAGCTCTTATAGCATGCAGAATTGTATTTAACTAACCTGTTTAAATACTATCACTTTTACAAAGACTGTCAAGTGTTTGATCAAGGTTATATACTTGCTCTGGTGTTATCTTGCATTGAATTTTACTAACTACTTCAATTACTGTAAAGGTGAACTGACAGAATTTTTAATCAATTGATTGACCAACCTATTAAGGTCCTGTAGAAATCTTGTCATTCTAAGTTAGAAACAATTACTCAATGGAATTTCATTAACTGGACTAAGATGGAAAATACTAGATATGTAATAAATAAATTTATTATATTTTTGTACCAGTTTTCTTTTCTTTGATTAAAAGTCTCTGAGGATTTTAAAAAAGCATTGATAATTTATAATCTTGATCATATTTTTAGGGTAGCAAATATTTAGAATAAAATACAGGTGACTCTTGAACAACACAGGTTTGAACTGCATAGGTCCAGTTATATGTGGATTTTTTTCAATAAATATATTGGAAATTTATTTTGGAGATTTGTGACTATTTAAAAACACTTGCAGACTGTGGTGTAGTAAATTACTTAGTATGGCTTTTCTACCCATAAGTCTTTGTAAACTCCAAGGTAGGATTTTCTATGAGCAACTGAGGAGCTCCTGATTGCTGAAGTTGTCCACCTGGAGTATTTCTGTTGGGAGTGGCACAAAACAATGTTCTGGGAGGT